ACACACACACCAACAACAACAACAACCACAACAACAACAATGACAATGCAGACGATGAATGCGTGTGCCGGAACCTATCCATGCATGTAAACGCAGGCACGCGTGTAGGAGATCTGCACATTGTGCCCTGAGACCCTGGCATCGGTGCGATATCGAAGGTCTCAAAGGTGTCCACCGGTGGCCTCCGTACCTTTCGGTCCCATGCCCGCGGGCAGCGCCACCAAATCCACCAACCCAAGACTCTGTGAGCGGTCATGCACCAAGCTCCCGAAGACATGCCTGGAAGGACGGCGGCGGCGACGGGCTGCGCTCTGTGGGCTTTGCGGGACTGCACCTGAGCTCTGATCCTAGCCGATCCTTCGGACTTCGGGTTTGAGTTGATCAGGCCCGCAGGAAGGACCACACCGTCGAAACTGCAGAGAGTACCGAGTACTGCTCCGAGCGCCCGGCTCGAAGGCCCTCTTCTGTAATGCGACGGCCTAGTTGGGACTCTCAGGGCAGAAGATGCTCCTTTGTGGCTCAGACCGGAATCGAACTTAGCCTGCATTACGGGCCTATCGGGCCCGCATACACCAGCTTTGCTCGGCGAAGCTCTCGGCGCGCCCGGCCTGGCCCGGCCCTCCACGCAGCAGCCGGCGCTCTCGGTGAGACCTCGGCTGCGAAGACATCGAAGTCTCGAGCAGGAAGGCACAAAAGGGCAGAAATGGCAAGACTTAGAACCTGATAGGATATTGGAGTAGTGCCTGTGTCAATCCTGCATCCGCTTTCGCCCTCGGAGGCTGAACCGACACGACGTAATTGCGATAGTTCAATCTTGTATTCAGCCACCATGCAGTGGCTGAATCCTGTATTCAACCTCAGGGACAGGTGGTGAACTGCTTTTTGAGCCTTCCGGGGCAGATGCCAACAGCTGGATGTCAGCTTCACCCTGCACCGGTGCGCACCTGACAGAAATTGGAGTCCGAATTAGGCTCGCGGAACCGACAGCCTTCCGTGCTCAAAAGGAGCCTCGTACGAAGCCTGACCAACACCAGTCTCTGGCCTGGGTAGGCCCACCCGGGCTCCTGCTGTAGGAAGTCTTTGGGGCCTCAGTCCGAAAATACGAAAGCAAAAGGGTTGAAGCTGCAATGACTCCCTGCTGCCGGTCACAACAGCGCAAGCCTTGGAAGCCGACTCGAGCACCTCAGGAGCCCCGTAAGGTCGCGACCCATCTGGTGGATGATTTCGACGGTGTTCCCTTCTCTGCGCTCTGCAGACCTCGGTTGGACAGGGCCTTCGACTGCCGGCCTGGGCTACGAGATCCAGCAGAGCTGTGCGAACCAGCCCCAACTTCAGCAGGCCTGAAGGATCAGGCCGCAATCCCAACGCTTAGTGCATATGGGGCAACCCAAGATCCCGACTCGGCAGGCCCAGTCCCTTGCGTGCCGGCACCCTGCAAGAGCGTGGGCTCTTGGAGACTTGGGGCCCTGGATAATCGGCTAAATGCGCTATTCGGCAGGTGCTTGCTTCAAGTTTGCTTTGCTGCTGCTACACCGTTCGTGAATACCAGCTGCTCTCCCTAAAACTACCAAGCCCCGAGAGCCCACGTCTCCAGTTGCCTCGTGCCGGTGGATCGTAAAGTTGGGATCCCACACCGAAGCACCTGTACGGGGAACCTGCGCCAGGTCTGTAAGACAAGCACATATTTGCAGGACAGGGTTTGGGAATTTGCCACAGAAGCTGAAGACTTCGTGATGGCTTGCAAACTCCACAGAAGGCGTAATGGGTCTACAATTTGCGATGAAAACAAGCGGTACGCTAACTAGCCAAAACACTTACCAAGGTGCAGTGACCCCTTTTTGGTCGTAGCGCACACTGCGCCCGGCCGGGCACACCGCCCAAAAACTCGGTGCCGGTGCCGGGGTGCGCACTTCTGCGCCCGCCCGGAGCACCGCCCGAGGGGGACGAGTGCCGGCCGATAGTCAGACGAAGCTAAAGCCAGATTATTATCCCAGATTGCCTCAGGGTGGCGAGGGTGGGAGACGCAAAATCAGCGATCGAGCCGAACAGCTGTCGGTCGATCGCTGCCGCTTGTTCCTACTCGCATAAATGCGCTGCACACAACAAGCGGTACACTAACGACGTGTTAGCCAAGACTCCTTCCAAGGTGCAGTGGCCCCTTTTTGGTCGTAGCGCAGACTGGAATCGGGCACACCGCGAAAACTCGGTGCCGGTGCTGGGGTGCGCGCTTCTCCGCCCGCCCGGCGCGCCCACCAGGCGTCGGCACCTACCAAATTGCAAGATCAAGCAGTCTCTCAGGCGCTCCATGACGGGCGAAGTTGACGTCGGTGGCCGCCTCGCCGAGGAACTGCATAACCTCATCAAGAAGTGCCCACCCGCGTCCAGAACTCAGCTCGTGCCCGGGAGTCGTCACCCCGAGACACAGCGTCCGTTTTCCATTCAAGCACATCGACTGAGTCTAGTCACCTCTAGACTGCGAGCGTTCTCCAGTGATCATTGCAGTCGCCTAAGCGATCATCTGCAAACAGCTCTGGCTGCTGCTGTGCCCCTAAAGGCCCGACAGCAGCAGCGGAGCTACAGTGTTTAAAAATATGCTAAGTCAATTGTTTGACTCAAAAAGTGGGACAACGAGCCACTTATACTAGACTCGTCCAGCGGCCCTAGCGCCACTGGCCTTGGCCCTGGCGCTTCTTGAGCGCCATGCCCCAGGTGGAGCCCTGCGGCGGCGGCTGGCGTAGTGAATGCCAACCCGGCGATAGGCGCCACATCCACCGAGGGCTGAGCCTCGGTCGCCCCGTAAGCCACCGAGAGGCATTCGCGATCTTCGGACGGCGTCGGCGAGCACCTCCACCGAACCCTCGGCGATGAAGGCGCGAATGAAGATCGCGCCATCAGTTTGGACCGCCGCGTCGTGATAGGCGAACGGGTCCGAAGGGACACGCCCGAAGGAGGCGAACTAGGCGCCCCCGGCTCGTCATCGGCCATGCCGCGCGATGTGGGCTGCACGCCGTTCCCATCAGCGGCGAAGGCGGCCTCAATGGCAGCGGGCACAGACGAGCCGGACGAAGCCATGATGCACTGCGAGGCGAAAGGCTGAGGGGAACAAACGAAAAATCAGCGATCGAGCCGAGCAGCTGTCGGTCGATCGCTGCCGCTTGTTCCTACTCGCATACATGCGCTACACAACAGCGCTTGAAACCGAAAGAGTCCCTGGGCAGCCAAAGCTTAGACCCTTAACGCGTGGCGGGTGGCACACCCTGCATGTATCTTGAGGATCCCTGGAATTCCGATGTTCAAGTCATCGGTGTCAGGATACGCTCTAGCCGTCCTCCACTTCCTCTGCAACAGGGGAGGCTACTTCTAAAGTTCCTTTGCCACTCGCCCTATGCTGCTCCAGGCTCATTTGCAGAAGGCGCGAGGCCTTGTCGGAAAAGATGTCCCAGCCTGCAGGCTTTGATGCCAGCAACAACCAGACACGATGACAGAGGCGCCGGAGACGAACTAGCCTTCAGATCTGACGCCCGATCCCTCAAGGAAAGAGGATGTGCCTAGAGCGCCCATCAGGGCCGCCATGTCTGCGACGCGGACCTGGAACCCAGGAGTCCGAGCTCAATATGTTTCTGTGCAAAGGCAAGATCAGCTGGGAACCTCCAAGTACCACCCACAAATCGCATCTGAAGGGAAACAATTCAACTTTGGGCGTCCTTTCATGCACCTATCAGTTCTTGGCGACTGCACCGCAAAATACCAATCGCACTTTGGCGCACTCTCCCTTCCCAGCTTCGTCACACGGTGCCATGCATCCGTCTGGAGAGCCGCACCCGCACACTGTCGCCCTTGCGGAACGAGCGCAGCAACCGAGTGACTTCCTGGTCGGCCCAGAGCTGACACACAAAGGATAGCCTACGGGGCCCCGAACGTCTAACACCAAGTTAGCACAGTGAAATCATCCCGCGATTCGTAGCAGCTATCCAGCTCTGAAGTTACGGCTCAGTTCCGCACGCAAAACCGAGCTTGACAACATGGATTAGAGCGTTACTGCTGCTTGATGTCGCATGGAAAGGCAGCATTCTCACTTGAAGCTTCCTTCGCCGCCAACTTCGAAGGAGCTTGGCACTAACCAAAGTCTCTGATGCCCTGCCAAAAGGATTATAACAGAAATGGCTCCTGATTCGTTCTTGATCTGCAGGCATACACCCTAACTCTAAATAGTACACAGAGGATATGACCACAAATGTCTCAGCTGCTATTGCTCGCGAGTGCACAATGCGTCGAATTTGCTGGCGAAAGCTTCTTCTTATTTGTTCACGGTACTGCATCTCCTGCTCTTGACTTTCGACACAAGGTGGGAAAGGTTGCTTCATCTGTTCAACCGTGAGCTATCTTCTGGCTTCGGCACCTTCTGCATGTTGCACTAGCCTCCCCAACAATACTCTACGATAGCGTGATGGCCCACCTAAGTATGGCAATAACTGTTGAATGCATTTGTTACACTGAAACCCTACAGGCCACATTGCTGTTGAAAGTGTGATCTTGTCATGCGTCAATCATACTCGGATCTCTTGCAAAGGTCAGCAGCACTCCAACGAGTGGAAAAGCCACGCACAACTACGACCATCTTTTGAGCAAATAGATGCAACAGTAACGACTGGTAACAGGCTAAATGCTACATGATACTATCTATCTATCTATCTATCTATATATATATATATAGATGTCGCTTATAAGCCCCCTTCCGGTTGTGCAACACGTACAAAAGCATGAGTTGTCGCATGCAGGCCCACCTCCTGCTTGCGCTGCCGGCTGCCAATCCACTTGGCAATCAAGGTTAAAACCTGCGGTAGACAACTCTGATGAGGTCGCTGGTCAGGATGACGGGCTTTACGTTTCGGTTGACAGATTTCGCATGGTGAGTGGCGAACATGCCTCGATAGCTTGGAGGTTGAAGTTTCACGGTTACAGCCTTGAGTTCCTGAATCCTTTCTGACTTTTGGTATGAGCCTTTGTTAGGCTTCAGAGGGGGCGGGTGTCAAGCATGAAAGCCAGTTGTGTGCACCGGTGTCTTCTAGCAGCTATCCGTCAGATCGTCGCAAGTGCATTGGCACAGAATGGGGTTTTTGTCTACCAAGCCTCGTGCTTTCTTCGCGACGCAAATGGCGCTCCCTCCTAGGCCTAGGCCAGGCCTCCGCTTCAGAGGCGATGGGCAGGTTGTCCTTGCCGGAGCGAGGCTCGGCAGGCTCGGAGCAAGGGATTCCGGTCCGGTCCGCCCCCCGTTCCCCCTCCCGTCCTGTCGTAGGATGCTCTCGACCAAGCCGATGGGCAGCTCCTCCCACCTGGTCTTCCCTACGTTGGTCCCAACCTACAAGAAGAGAAGCCTCCAGGTTCCTGACACCGCCCCAAGGACTCCAGACTCCAAAGGCTGCACAACCAAACAACGACTGGAAACCCCGGGTCTTCCAGGCTTGGGTTCCTGAAGCCCCAACATCCTCAACTTTGTTAGGCCCCCCCCTCCCGCAACAGTTTGGCAGACCTTGGGTCGTCGGTGATGGCGCACAAATTTCTGCGCAGGAGCATCGCGTTCATCAGCTGATCCTGGCGACGACACATAGCGCAGTAAAGCCTTTTCGAGTTCGTAGGAGTGCATTTAACGGCTGAACTTCTGAGGCCGTGATAGACCTCACCCTGCATCAAAGCTACGACTACCCAAAGTGGCACATAAGCCAGATGGTCCGGCATGACTGCACCTTGCACATGCTGTGTTCGACTCCTTTGTTCGTCACGCGCAAGTGGTGGGGCGAGTGGTACAAATGCGACCATTTCCTGCCTGGCTACTTCGCCTTTAGGCACCTGCAGGAAGTCTCAGTGTCGAGAGCGTAAAACGAGAATAGCCAAACCCCTTTCGAGAAAGCCATCTCTGATCGAGTGCTGGGTCCACTTCTTCCTTGCTCCGAAGTCAAAAGGCTGAGCAAGGAATCTCCAGTAGCTTTGGACAAGGAGTCTCACAAGTCGATGATGAAGTAGACTCTGTGAAACCGGAATCCTTTCAGAAAGCAAGTGGACGCAGCACCTACACACCTCAGCCCGCCCCTTGGCTGAGCGGGGTCCAACCTCAGCAAGAGTCTCGCAAAAGGGGCAACCCGGTGTCAACTTTGGAGTTCGCTGGAATTCCCGGGGGCCAAAGGGTTCCTTGTTGAGAGCTTCTGAAAGGAGCCCAGAAGAGGCTGAACAGCGTCGCCCGGACGCCCAAGGAGCTTCGGGTGAACAGCCGGCCTGGGTTCTGCAGCCCGCCCAGGGTCCGAGCCGACTCAGCAAATCGAATCTTCCCTCTTTCGACACAACTTGGTCATCTAAGCCGCGCGGGAAAACGGCCTTTGTGAAGACTGCGCGTGAGAAGAGTGAGGTCTCGAAGCAAGTTCTCTCTGGCCCTACGACTGGGTTCGGAAGTTCCTGGCTCCCCGGAGCAGTGGCCGAAACCAGCTCTGTTGCTGAGTATGTTCGAAGATCTTGCTTCGAGACGAATCTGTGGGTCCCGGAGCTCGCGCTGAAGCTCGGGGAGCCCTTTTGCACACGACCTAAGGGAGCTCCAACTTAATCCCAAAGATATCTGGAAGTCCAAAAGCACGTAGAAGCAGACTCCCATCCCTAATGACGGCATCGAGCTGCTCCCTCGGTCTCGAAGGCAGGAGGCGACTCCGGCAAAGGCTACCGAAAAGCTCCGAGGGCCAAGAGTTTCGACTGCTGTTGGGCTTCGGGCCAGTCGCCCAAGAAGCCTTCTAAGTTATATATATATATACATACATA